TTGAACATATTATTCTCACGTTCACACTAACACAGGTCTGTATCGAAAATGGTAGTGCGAAGGTAAAATAATCTGTGTACAGTTGCTCTAACGTTGTATTTTCACTGGCCATAAAATGAATCTCTAACACACGAAACACGTTTATATAAATGTGTGGGTACCTATACATTGGATATACTACAATTATGAGTATATTAAGTGAGGTATTGTTAAATGGAAGAATATTTCTTTCGTCTAATTTGTTTTATTCCTTTATTCTCTAATCGGCGACAGTTAAATGTTAAGGGTTTATTATCTATGGCAATTACACACTGGTATACGTAACGTTTATACATGTATTACGTGCGGGCGTACACAAACGTGGAAGTGTTTAAAACAAGCATATACTAATTAACATCCATTCAGTTGTGTGAAGGCCTTGTAGAGTCCTATACGTATCTGTATGTGTGTTTCTGAACGTACATGTGTGGACGATTTGTATATTACACAATTTTTAAAGTGAGCTTTATACATGTGTACTTAATTGTGCATTCATTATTACATTTTTTATTGTTATTTCCACTTTTTATATAATTAGTCATTAGAAAATTAGATTATTTATAGGTGACGACAAAAATTTAATAATAGTTATGGAATTAGAAAGAATTTTAATATGGTGCCGGAACGGGTAAATTAATTACAAATAAAGAGAAAAAACTAGCTTTGACCACAACACACTTTCACTATAAACTTCAAACAAGCTAAACTCAGAGTTGTCTGATGATAAAACTTCACCTGTTTATATTCGTAACTACCTAATGAGCCATGCGACATGTTCACGTTTATTCACTATCTACAAAATACAGCAGCTAGTACAAAGTAAAAAATTCCTAACGATCTATAGAGTATTACTTTTTTATATATTTATTTATGTAATAGTATTTATGCATTTTGTTCAGATTAAAAGAATGGGCAATTATTAGAAGCTAAAAGGCTGTTTTATCACAGAATGGTATTGTTATATATTTTAATTATTTTTAATTGCTGAATGATTGGAACAGGTAGATAACTGGTTAAATGAAATAAGCAGGATTCTTTCCTTCGAAAATTAAAAATAAGTTCGAAATTTCAAATAGAGCAGAGCGAGCCTTTCACTTGAAAACAAAAGAAATAATCAGGATGTCATAGGAAAACAATGCCAAACACATCAATGAAGAAAAAACATTAAATCAATGAAATAAAATACTCTCCTAAGCCGCCTTACTAGCGCGGCAATCCTCCATTTATGGGAACAAACCTTTCTTAAACTTTTCTTAAAATAGTGACAAATAATGAGTTAATTAATATTCAGAACCTCTTTCTTCACAATATAAGCAAAGATAATCTACCAACTTAAATTTGACTGTATACTTTCTTTTTATTTACCTTAAATTGCCAGCGTCATGCGTGTTTGAGTCTCTCCATATTATTATTGTTAAATGTAACCTCTATTAAGACCGAGGACATTTGGTGCATTGTTAAAACAATTATAATTTTGTGCTACGTCCGACGATCGTTTATAAAAAAGACATTCATTCGAGCGTAGGCGCAGATCCATTCATATACGTCCGATTCCGTGGTACGATACGGTAGTACAGATTCATTTAAATATTTTGTAACCACAAACATTTCTGTGTATAATAATAATATGATATAAATAGTTTTCTTAATGGCATTAATGTTTATATCACAATATAATGTTTTTTATCCTACAAGTTGAAAGAAAAACAACGTTTTTTTTAATCTTTAATGAGGTAACTACCTTTTACTCACGGCTTCGTCCACGCGTAAAGGGATAACAATATTGATTAATAGGAATAAAAAGCCTATGTCCTTCTGCATCCAATATTGTATGTGCATACCAAATTTCGAGGTAAAAATGGTTTCAAGAAATTTCTCTTGTAAGATTACACTTGTATGTAATTATTCGATATTTTCTCGTGGTGACAGAATAAGGATTTAATATATTACTTTTTATTTGCATCCCTATATTAACGTAAGATGCTACAATAAAATAATGTCAGTATAATAAAAAAAAAAAAGAATAAACACTTGAAAAAAAAAATGTATATAATAAAGCACTATACTTCTTTTATGGAGAAATCTGTGACCGTTAGTGGGTCGTTAATTGGTTGTGAAGATGTGTTTATAATCATCTTATATTAAAATTAAAAGAATAATTTAAATTTTCTTTAGTCTATGACTACTTTGATGATAAATGTCAAATTTTATATCATTAATATGCATATGCATTTTTAATAGCAAAGCGTCTATTAGCTGCATATTTTGAATGTTATAAATGCGAAAGTTTGTAACGATAGTTGTTTTTTTTTACTCTTTTACGCAAAAAAATACTGAACTGATTGGAATGAAATATGGTACAGGGGTAGATTATATCCTAACTTAGTACATATGGTTCTTAATGTACTGACTGATGCGGGCAAAACCGCGGGATTTAACTAGTAGTCTATATTATTAAGCTTCCATCTGTTTTGCAAGTTATTTTCCTTCGACTTTTTGGTACAGAAAAGTAGGTGGTGATAAATATGATATGTCTATTAAACAACCACACGCGCCCACACCCAAGTATAATAAAGTTATGCAGATTCCAAACTTAGGAAATATTTGTTTATGAGAACGGTACTTTCATTTCTTTTTTAGGAAAACACAAGCCATGAGGATTTAAGTCCACTTTTTGTTGAAAAACCACTCAAAAAGTATTTCAAACTAGTAACTAGTAGTAGTATGCAAACGCGTAAGTAGATAATTTTGTTTTAAAAAAAAAACTGAACAAGCAATCCTTTCTGCTACAAATGACAGTTAGATTTAATCAAAAAATGATAATTACTTAATATTTATCAAAATATTGAACAATCAGATAGTTACTGATTGCAAGGATTTTCAATGGTCAAAGTATAAAATATTAATCACGCATTTGAGTAGGTAACTAATTAATTTTTTTCTGCAATATATTCTTAATTTCTTTAGTATATTCAGAATAAACTTTAGTATATTCTAGAAAATTCAACATAGGTATCACTTGTTCGTCTCTCTTTGAGATTCCTGATGAATAACATTTCTGTAGCTTGTGGACATTTCCATTATTAAGTTAAAATTGGACGCTGAATATCTTTTTTTTCTGGAGAAGAGGCTTAACTTTTGTAAAAGTATTTAATTATGTTATATAGATACAAATTTCGTATATTTGATTTCAAAACGCTCGATTAAAAGTATGCTCTTCAGAAATTAATATGTTTAAAACCAACACACATTATGTAATAAGCACTTCGATCAGTGGAATTTGTCGATTTTGAGATAATTAGGATCTATAGTAAAGAAAACAATTGTAATAATTGTAGCAAATATTTCGTAAATTTTCCTCTCAATGTTAAACCTAAACTTTAGTTTAAAATTTGGTACAAGTATAATCCAAGGCCTTGAATTGCACGTGTCATATTGATGTAAACAGGCCATAGAAATTATTTACAAACCAAATGTTGAGTATAAAAACCGAACCTTTTTTATATTTGGGAATCGCGAGTTTATTGCTATAACAGGCAATAATTTTATTGCCTGTTATAGCAATAAACTCGCGAAGGTTATCCTAAATAAATATTTCTAGTTTAGTTTTGGAACGATTTAGATCTTGAGATTATCAACAACGAACCAGAATAGCTGTGACATTTCTCCTTTTGATGTTTGAGTACTAAGGTAATAGGTAGGTAAGACTCTTGTCTAAGTTCGTAATGGCTTACTTATCTTTACGTACTATAATGCACACATTATTGCTTCATGATAAAAATTACTGTAGTACTTGTTCAAGCGAGTAGCACAAAATTCTTTATGTAAATATTTCGTGTTCATTATTCAAACCTGGTTATGTCAATAGATTATTATTATTGATCATTTTCGCCAAACTGTTTTTATTGAAAATGCAGTCTAATGGAAATATAGGTGTGATTTTTAACTTCTTTTTTATTGCTCTACTACGTAAGACTTAGACTACGTTAGACTAATATATCTTCCATTTAAGTTTTGCAATCTACTTGTCAACCACTTTGAGGCGGCGACTAAATATTATAATATTATGGAAACATCGAGCTGGTGCAGATGGAAAATAGCTATAGGAACTCGTGAATTACGCATGATGAATCCGTCGTGTTTGAGCTCTTTTGATTTTTATCTCTGTGTGTGTGGCTCCTAGAGTCTGATGAAGTCTACAAGCTACAAAAGCTTGTTTTTGAATGTTTTTAAACAGATTTGTTTTATTATAATATTGAAAATACTTTAAGACACATTTTTTATCTTTCATTCATTATTCATTTTCAGACTAAAGACCAAATGTCAGTTAAGTAAATCTTTTTAAATATCCACAATGCATGCAGCTCTATTCCATACACGTTTGTACTCGTTGCTCTATATTAACTAAATAGGGTGACGAGTGCATTGAAAATTGTCGATAGCATTTATTAATTCATTGATAAACCTAATTAGAATTAATCAAAACCTAGAGGTATTATAATATATTTATACCAACCAATAATACCTAGTTCTCTAAAACTAGGTTTTGTTTTGTATAAATCGAATTAATATTTTTTATTATAAACATTCCATCTTAAATTTGTCATTATTAGTTCGGTCGTTACTGACAGGGGTCTATAATACTCGTATATAATTTACTTGTATTTTATTTACGTATGTAGGTAAATTTTATGTTAAGTAAAGTTTAATGGGTTAGGTACATTATTAAAGAATAAAATGTAGACAGATCAAGATTCTTATAAGCTTTTATTATGAAAGTTTGTAAAGATTAAAAATAGAAAAGGGTACTTTTAATTTCAGAATTTGGTTATTGGTAACTTGTTATTTGATTATGAAAGTTATGAATATTATGAAAAACAGGCATTTAGCAACAAAGTGCGAAGGAAAAAGATGTAACCACAGTTAGCACAAGCTGGAAGCCAAGGATTCACAGATTTTACCTTAGCACATTACAGGCACGAAGAATAATATTTCCGAAAAGTCCTTGTTCGCGCTTTTGGCGAAACTGTCCTCGAGTCCGAAGGCCCGCAAGACAAACAGCCTGCACAGTTTCACAGAGATCAAAATGAGCACCGTAAGCCGGACTGCGTCCGCAACACCCGGCACATCCACCGCACGCCGGCCGATCAAAACATAGCTCTCACAAACCTTTTCGACACACAGACTCGATTTACAGAATTTATTCATCGCATCCGCCGAAAACACCTATAATTTTTATGAGCCGCGCCAAAAGTACGCTAGAACGGCAGGGCCCCCGAATGTTTTCGTTATCCGGCACAAATTAGCACCAATAAACTGGAAGGAAATCACCATGGGACGTTAATGCAGCACGGCAGCCGCCGGAAAACTCGATTTCGCACGACAAACACGTGAATGCGACGCTCGCCGGCCACAGAACCGCGCGGTAAACAGTGCGCGCGCCTCGACAACACACGCACACTTTTGCATATTAGCGTATTGTACACACACACGTTGGTATAGGCGCGCGCATACCCCTTGCTACAGAAATAGAATATCACGTTATAATACACCAATTGGACGCTCGCTACATCACGTCATACATTGTTCTGATTGGATAAGGATCCATTGATAGCATACCTACCACAAGGCGTTCAATTCGCGATTAACTGAAAGTTTTTGATAAAATTTAACTGATATGCGACTGTGACGGACTGAATTAGTGATATGTCGTATACATAATCAAACGATATGAATTTTAGCATCGCCTGCGAGATAAAACAATTTGTATTAAGTAAATAATGTGACTTTCATCCAAAATATTCACTCCAGCTACGTAATAAAGTTGGCGCGAAATCTAATCAAAGAGATCGTTATCGTTCAGCTACAGAGTATCACTTTAGGCTTTGATTACGGTGGGAATGATATTTACGAGCTCTATCGCGAGGATTATTACAAGAATTATATAACTTAGATTAAATTATAAAATTAAACTGTGAAAAGTATTCAAGGAAAACAAAATAATTGATAAATATACTTACGTAATATTTGTAATTGCTGTACCTACATACCTAATTAAAAAAAATACTTAAAATTTATTTCAAAGATTCTAAATAACCTAAAAAAATGTAACCTTCCTACATAGGTACTAATGTCTTTTTCTAATCGACCAAAACAAGTTGTACGTTGATACGTGCTTCATCAACTTTGCTTGTTTAATTAAAAAAGGGGCCTTCTGAATGGTAAGTAGGTATAGTATACAGATAACATAATCAGTCATTGTGCTTAATATATGATAAAAAAAAAAGCTTAGAATATTGATTTATAATAAAAAATTCTGTTTACATTTAGCCAAGTGAGAAGATGGTAGTAGGTACCTAGCTAGACACACGCACACACGCACAGACACATACATACACGAATTTGATGGTACAGAAGTTTGACACACTACCGCACTTTCTGTTGATTGCGGGTTCAATTTTCGCAACATTAATTTGTATTCATGAATATGTCTATTTGTATTGGTCTGTGTGTTTTCTGTGTACATTATAATATAAATGTATTTAAAAAAATATTTTTTTATAATACAGGGACAAACGAGCATACGGCTTACCTGATGGTAAGTGACAATCGCCGCCCATGATCACGAGTTGGGGATCACATGATGGGGAGTTTTGCACGTAGTTGCCATGCTTGACAGACGGGTTGGTAACCGCAATTAGATATTGGAGATGTTTTTAAGGAGAACGCTGCTGCATTTTCCTCGACCATAAAATTCTCTTAGTCAATTTTTATGACACTTACGGAAAAGGAAGGGGTTAATTATTCTATGCCGCGACTATACTGCAATAAATAAGGGATAGTTGTTAATTCTTTTAGAATTGGTCACGTTGGCCTAACAGTAGTGCCATTCTGTTAAAACAAACTTGAATTTCACTAGTGCATCCGCGAGTGATTTACATTTGGTATTCTGTGAACAAGTAAGATCGATCACAGCGCCATTTCCTTAAGGTGACGGCGTAGTGAACTGGGGTAGTGTGTTACTTAGCCTGTTGAAAAATAAATAATCTCTCATCTTCTTTATCTTGATTTACATGTGCAACGCGGAGTGAAGCAGTGTAAAGTGAGAAGTGAGCGATCAACTAGACGGGCGTCGGCGTCCCCAACAGCGTGAGCGAGTGCGGTGCGCGACAGAGAGAGCAGTGTGCGAGCGAGAGCGACGACGCGTGCGATTGGTGTCTCGCCAGTCGCGCCCCCGCTCCGCTCGCCACCCGGCCTCGCCGCGCGCCGCGCGCCCACGCACCGCGTCTCCACCCTGCGGGTTCGCCCGGCGACCCCCAGCCGCAGCCGGGAGCCGCGAGTCAAGGGCGGTGATTTCTTGCGAAATCATCCGTCCCTCGACAAGCCACCACCTTTCCCCCGTAAGTATCCTGATTTTTCTTCCCCCTCGTCGCCTCACGACGCCCTCCGTCCCGTCTAGCCTTCCTTTTCCCCCCCCTAAACCATTCACCCCCGTCCATCTCCGCAGTCCAAGACGCAATAACAATGCCCCAACGGGGCCGCCACCGCGGCGCCCCCGATAGACCCATCATCAAGAGGGATCTGTTAGATCCCTCCAAGTCGGAAATTCTACCCGCGTCCGCCTTGGGGCTCGGTCCCCGCTCCGGCGGGCCAACCGCCGGGGGGTCGGCCGGGAGATCGGGCATTCCGCGGCGTGTGCCTGAGTGCACACCGCCGCGCGATACTCCCCGGTCCCCGTCCCCCTCCCCGGCGCCCGACTCGCCGAGCACGGACCGACCCCCCACGGCCGCCACCAAACGCGCTGCCCCTTCCTCTTCCTCTTATACGTCGTCGGAGTCATCAGTGGCTCACGACGACAAAAGAGCCTGCGTCGAGGACTCATCCCCCGCCTCTCTTCCCAGCCTCGCACCCAGTCCCGTTCCCGTCTCCGTCCCCGTCGCCGTGGGCACAGAGGAGCCAGAAATTGTACCCACCCCCCGTTTCCGCGTGCTGGTGGGCGGCTCCCGTCCTGCCACGGTGGGGCCGGCGCCGGGAACCATAATTGACACGTCCCTGGATACCCACTCCACCTCTTCCCAATCCCAGCCGGAGCGTGCCGCGTCGCGGGGCCGACCCCCGCGGCCGACACGTATCTAGGCTACTCTATTTGCCCACCCCCCCCTATCTTCGAGGACCGGACCGAGTTCCACATGGACGACACGTCCTATGTGGGAATCCGCTCCGGTACCCCAGCCCCCATCCCCCAACCCCCCCTACACCCACCTCTTCCGCAGAGACCGGAGCAGCGTCGCACGTACGCCGGCGCGGCGGCGCGACCGGCGCCGACTACGGCGCCCTCCGGCGCCGCGCCGCGCGTGGGGGCGGCGCCCGCACCGGTCGACGAAGAGTCCCAAACGGGTAAGTCATACCCACCCATAGTGGCCGAGTGTCTGCCCAATTGGCAGAACCATTTCTGTCAATTGGAACAGATACTGGGCCACATCCCAAACGCACGTCCGTACGGCACGGGAATCCGCTTTATCGCAAAAAGCGTAACGGAATTCCGTGCCGTACAACGATACCTTACACAGCTGGGAGACAGCGAGCCGGCCCTCAGCTGGTATTGTTACAGCCTGGCGGAGGAGCTGCCGGTGAAGGTGGCCATCAGAGGCCTACCCGCCGACACTCCGCCGGACGCTGTGGCCGCCAGCTTGAGGGCCCTAGGCTTCCAAGTGTCCCTAGTGAGGACCATTCCGGCGCGTCGAGGGCGCCCGGGATGCTTATTCCACGCGCAGCTGACGCGAATGAGTAGGGACGACCTCGCCCGGCTCTACAGCACCAAGGTGCTGTTGAGAATGCCGGGCGTAACCATCGAGGCGTGGCGGTCCGCCAACAGGATGGCTCAATGCCACCGCTGTCAGGCGTACGGCCACGCTTCCACTAATTGCCACCGTCCCGTCAGGTGCGTCCGCTGCGCGGGGAGCACGCCGCGGGAGCCTGCGACCGCCCGAGGGACGCTCCGCCCACGTGCGCCAACTGCGCGAGGGCCCACACGGCCAACGACCGGCGCTGCCCGGTGTATAAAAGGGAGGCGCGCCGCCGAAACATCGCGCCGACCGCGCCGATGCCTCCCGCACCCGTGGCGGCGCCGGGAGAGTGGCAGACCGTCGGCAGGGGGCGCACGAGGGCGCCCCTCACCCATACGACCCGCCATACGGCGCCCACAGTCGCACATGGTGCGACACAACTGCCCTCCGCCACCCAACCCGCGCCGGTGCGGCACGAGCCGGCCGGGCACGGAGGCGGAGCACCACCAGCGTCGGCGTCGGCGGGGGCGACACTCGCCACACCTGCCAACCCGCCGACGGCCCGCGGCGCTCCAGTGGGCACCAAGAAGCGCCGCGGCCGCAGGCGACGCGGACGGCGCGCCGAGTCGACGCCTAATCAAGGCGTCGAAGCGGAACCTATTATACAGTTAAGAAATAATTTTATAGTTAGCAATAATAATAACCAGGACGTCGGATGTGTGCCCCCCTCGCTCCCTAGCCACGCAAGGCGTCCCCACGGATTCCTTCCGACGCCGGCCGCGAGCACGCCTGAGATGTCGGTTGCAGACCCATTACTTTTAGTGTTGGGTTTGCTGACCGATTTTCTAAAGGCGCTCGCGACCGGGTCGGACATTAAGTCGGCCGCGCTCGGCGGATTGGCCTCATTGGAAAGGCTACACGGGCGCGGTTGAGCTTCGTATTGCCTACTGGAATCCCGGGGGAGTCGCCGACAAAGCAGGCGACCTCCGACTCTTCGCCCAGCAGCAGGACTTACATGTCATTCTGCTGGGTGAAACTAAGCTAGCCCCACATATCGATTTCAGTGTGCCTAATTATCACGTGTATAGGCGGGACGAGGTCTCTCCGGCGGGAGTGCGGTACCGTGGTACGGCGGTTCTTGTCCGGAGGGATGTCGTCCACACGGAGATTGGGCACACTGAATATCGTTCCCTGCGTTCCAACGGTGTAGCGTTGAACGCGGGGGGTAGAGGTCCGCCTGTTTGCAGGCTATCGTCCGCCCGCCGCTCGCTTTTGCTCGAACGATATCCGAGCCATCATGGACAGCGACAAGCCGACCATTCTGGCGGCCGACCTCAACGCGAAACACACCGCGTGGGGGTCGTCCCGCGTAACGAGGGACGGTTTGTGGCTGTTTCATGATGCCGAGAATGAAATCCTAGGCCCCTCCTCACCCACTCATGTCCCAACCAATCCCAGGCACACAACTGACGTCCTGGACATAGTGTTGGCTAAGAATGTCCCCTGTCCCATTAACCTGGAGGTGATGTACGACTTGAATACGTCTCACCTCCCGGTATTGATCACGCTTGACGTAGCGGCCACGTTCGTTCCAGCGTCGCGCCCCAGTAGGAGGATAGACTGGACGGCGTTTCAACGCGAGCTCGACGGGTACTCCCTTAGCGGCGAGCTCGCCACTCCTGAGGCGATCGAGGACGCCTCCACGGCCATCACGGCCGCCATAGTGGCCGCCAAGGAGGCGGCAACGGTCGCCCATACCCCCTCGGGAGCGGCGGGCGCGTCTCGCCGCCGCGAGAAATTACCCGTCGATCTATACGAAATGCTCGTACAGAAGCGCCGTCTTCGTCGCCTATGGGCGCGCACGCGTTGTCCGCGCGTCAAGCGTGATCTCAACTGTTTGGCTGCACAACTGTCGGAGGGGGTGCGGGTGTGGCGTGGGGCCGCCTGGGACAATTTAATCGAACAGGCGACCGATCACGACACCAACCTGCACCGGCTCTGTCGACAGTTGTCAACACGGCCACCACCCGTGTGTCCGTTGCTAGACGCGACGGGCACACGAAGGTACGCAGCCAAGGACAGGGCAGACATTCTAGCCAACCATCTACAGGGGCAATTCCAGCCCCATCCCCTTGCCGTTCCCACAGATCCCACTGTCGTCGAGCACCACGAGCGAGTGACACGGCGCGTAGAGGAATTCCTATCGGGCGAGTCCCCGCCGCTCGCGGGTGTCGAATTCATCTCACCTGCTGAGCTGCGGAGGACCGTGGAGCGCCTCCCCAGGAGGAAGGCGCCGGGTCCCGACGGAATTTCCAACGCCGAGTTAATGCAGCTGCCGCGAAGGTGCCTGGTGGCGCTCACCAGGCTCTTCAATGGAATCCTCCGCACAGGCCATTTTCCAGAGTCCTGGAAACTGGGTAGAGTGATCGTCCTCCCCAAACCGGGCAAGGATCGCCGTTTGCCAGGAAGCTACCGCCCCATCACGCTACTGGCGCACATAGCCAAACTGTTTGAGAGGTTGCTGCTCCGACGGATGGCCGAACATTTCACTCCTAGGAGCGAACAGTTCGGCTTTCGGTCGGGCACTCGACCACTCTGCAGCTGGCGCGCGTGCTGCACCACCTGGCCGCCGAGCACAACCACGGTCGAGTGGTGGTCGGTGTCTTCTTAGACATCGAAAAAGCATTTGACCGTGTTTGGCACGACGGCCTAGTATATAAACTATTACAATATACTAGCACGCCGCCCGCGTATGTGCGACTGGTGGCGTCGTTTCTCAGGGGCCGTAGCTTCTTCGTTTCGGTGGAGGACGCGCGCTCCGACACCCGCCCAGTGGCCGCCGGAGTTCCACAAGGTAGCTGCATTTCCCCGGCGCTTTACGCGCTGTACACGAATGACATCCCTGTCCTGGACAGCCAGCCCTTTACACTGGCCCTGGAACGGGATGTCATGCTCGCTCTGTTTGCCGACGACACGGGATTTTTCACGTCGTCGTACTGGAAGACGAGAGCCGCCGCTCAAATGCAGCGGCAACTGGACCTGCTGCCGGAGTGGTTGGACAGGTGGCGCATGGCCGTCAATGTTGACAAAACGGTCGCGCTACTTGTCCGCCGCAGTCGTACAGCACCGCCGCCGCCCTTAAGGCTCCTTAATAAGGAAATCGCGTGGGAGAGCACCGTGCGATACCTAGGGGTCGACATCGACCGGTCGTTGAGAATGGTGCCGCAGGTGTCGCGTGCCATAGCGCAGGCTCGCGCGGCGCGACTTTCTCCGACCGGTGCTAACTTCCAGGTTGCCGTTACGGACGCGGGTCTCTATCTATAAGACCTACGTCCGTTCACGGTTAACATATGCCGCACCCGCTTGGTATGCACTGTGCTCTCCGACGCTTAGGCGCCGGCTGCAGGCCCAGCAAAACATCGCTCTCCGCTTGTGCACGGGAGCGGGCAGATACGTCCGTAACGACGTTATCGCCCGCGGCTTAGGGGTCCCAACGGTGGAGGAGTTCGTTGTCGACATGGCGAGCAAAATGTTCGCCCGTGCCGACAACGGACACCATCAACACTTGAGGGGCCTCGCGCCGCTGCATGCGCGTCCACCGGACGGCCGTCCCACGCCTAGGGACCTCCTGTGCACAGGCGAATAGTGATCGTGATTGCCTCGTCTACCAGTATGACGACTTACCTACCCTTTTTCCCCATTTCCCTTCTTCTTTCTCATTCCCTCCTCTCGCCCGTTCCAAGTGTGTAATTATATCCCCCGCGTCCAAGCGGGGGGAGGGCCGACACACTTCTTGTGTCGACCCTTACTAACACTTATCTATTATTAACATCTATTATATATATCTGGGAACGGGCGAGAGGGGAGAATTACAATATTAAAAATATTATATATTAAAAAAAAAAAAAAAAAAAAAAAAAAAAAAAAAAAAAATATAAAAAAAAAAAAAAAAAAAAAAAAAAAAAAAAAAAAAAAAAAAAAAAAAAAAAAAAAAAAAAAAAATTTATATATATATATACACTACAAGAAAGAAGAAGAGGCCACAACAAGAAGACACCACGCCGGCATACACAGACCACCAGTGTATGCCGGCTCAAAACCCAGTGACCCGGAGGTAGTGGCCTCCGGAGATGCAGCCGGGGTAAAGGGGTTTACCCCGAGACCCCACCTCACCCGCCTACACTATTAAGGCGGGTAAGAAGACCCGGATGATGATGATGTGTTACTTAGGAATACGTATCCTTAGGAATTCAGTTTAGTAAAACTCATTTCACCTATCATTCCAAAAGCTTACGGATTATGAAAATTGAGTGAAGTGAAAATTCAGGTGAAGTGACAATGAACGTGAGT